CTGCCTCCCAGCATACGTAAGGGGGCTTCTTCAGTCGATAACAGTGGGGGCAGCAGAAGCTGTAGTGATGTAAAGACGATGTAATCAGTCTATCACCCTCGAAGACGTAGTCTTGAGGTGGTTAGTCACTCAGCCTGGAGAAGAGCTCTGCTCCATTATCTGGAATAATGTGAAGTTGAAGTAACAGAATGGAGACATATACTGTCAGGTGAGGTGACTTGTATACTGTCAGGTGAGGTGACTTGTGTACTGTCAGGTGAGGTGACTTGTATACTGTCAGGTGAGGTGACATATACTGTCAGGTAAGGTGACATATACTGTCAGGCAAGGTGACATATACTGTCAGGTAAGGTGACATATACTGTCAGGTAAGGTGACATATACTGTCAGGTGAGGTGACTTATATATATTGTCAGGTGAAGCACTTACAAAATAATGCTATTTTAAAATTAAATTAACATTGTACACTTGAAATTATAAATTATCTCTGAACTCTGCCAAGCAGTTGAAGTATATATTGACTATCACCACAGTAGAAATATCGTAATATCCTATGGTCATAACTCGGAAAAGTTTGACAGGTCTATTAACATTAGACAGGTTGCTTGACAAGTCTGTCTGCATATGACGGGATCTTGCGAAATGAAGGCATAACGGGGAAAAGTTTGTACAGGAATTATCGTCTTACCAGAGGAAACACAACACAACTCAGCGAGGAATTAAGACTAACACGCACCACGGCTACAAATCAATCGGCAATTTACATGCTATTGGCCCTCCTACCCGGGGCCTCGGCAAAGCCATAACGAGAATATTTCCACACTTAAGGCAGAAGCGCTGAAAAATATATACTCATTGAGCGTGTACGAGTAGGCATGACAATACAGCCATTGATCAAAGCACTGTTGCATTATCAGGGAGGTCCCACTATTGTGGCAAACAGGGACAAAGAATTACTAGTTCATACAATCCAAGACACGCCCACAAAATTGATAACATATCACACGAACTCAAAATATAATTCAATATGGTGCCTTTACTGTTTGCTTTGTTTATTAGTGGAACATTCTAATAGCTTATGTTGGCTTAAATCATACTTATGAGAACAACTTGGGGCCTGGGTAATTTCTGAACCAGCGAGTCGAAAATCAATGTGCTGGTTATTGAGGGTTTGTGGCACGCGGCCAGTGCGTCCTCCATCCTGTTCTCGATCTTCGATTTTCCATATTTCATCACAGAAAAGATAATTTTACATGGGCGTCCAGACCTGGATTACCTCCTGAATACATAACTTCTCATTCCCTTAACCTTGATGAACCTGTGCTGGAGTAATGAAACCTCCCTGACGAAACGTTTCCACAGTATAAATACCCATGAAGTTAGTCATAGGATTTGCAACACAGTTCCAAGTGCTCATATACCTTTTTTTTTTTAGTTTAACATCTTTAATATGCACCCCATACCCATCCTGTGGGTGGTAGTCAAGAGATTACAGAGGTACAAAGTGGGTCCAGAGACGACCTCAAAGTTCTGATAGTTAAACAGACGGGTATACAGCATCATCACTCTTATCGGGAGTGCTCACCTACTGGGTAAGTCAGTTTATTCAGGTATACACAAATACAGTTACACAGATTATCATACATAGCAGCATATGTGCAGAGAACCTAGGAAAACCCAAAAAAGTCAGACAAAGTGACTTATTTCCATTGGGGTCGGCATTCTCCCTGATGGCGAGGTAACTAGAAATGTGACCTAGGCACCGTGGTGCCAAAATATAGCCATTATCTCCTCATCAGTCACCAAGACTTCAGCTTAAGAAGAGATCAGCTAGGATTATCAAAACCAACGCAGGTGTGCATGTCATTCCAGGTGAACTTTCTGAACGGTATGTTCGCCCTAGGCCTGGACAACCTTAATGTCAACACTGTATCTATAGTGTGTCGTGTTTGCTGTATAGATATGTCGCAGTCCCGCAGGCTTACGAACACAATTTGCAGTAGATGTTGCTGCAGGATCTCTGTATACTTCCAGGCTCTGTGTTAGCAGTCACTCAAGTTCCTGCTTTACCTTCCTGTCCAGACGTTCATTGGCTCTGACTAACACTGTTATGTGTTTCACAGAGCGTTCAACAGGTTTACCACGGAGCCTGTGATCCATTTCTCTAGCTTTATGTAAAGCTTAATAAGCGTTATGAGATAGTGTGGTGGCACTGGAGTGATACAGTAGCACACTCTTGAAGGTAGCACTGGAGTGGTAGTATGGTAGCGCATTCTTCAAGGTAGCACTGGAGTGGTACAGTACCACACTCTTCAAGGTAACACTGGAGTGCTAGAGGTGGTCTGAGTGTTCCAAATTCTGAGAATATTCCTTTACACTTAAAGTGCTGGTGTGTTTCCGGATACTGGGGCGGGTGGGCGGGCTTGAGTGAATGGGGTGGGTGGCCCAGGTAGACTGGCACTGGTGGGCTGGCACTGTGGGTTCAGACAGGTGGGCTGGTCAGTAGTGACCCACACGTGAGGGAGTGAGGATGTGGAGGCTGCCGCTCCTGATCCTAACATTCACCACCTCCACCACTCACACTCAGGATGATACAGGTACACACACTCTGGATGATACAGATACACACACACAGGATGATGCAGGTACACACACTCTGGATGATATAGCTACACACTGGATGATACAGATACACACACTCTGGATGATACAGCTACACACTGGATGATACAGCTACACACTGGATGATACAGCTACACACTGGATAATAATAATAATAATAATGATACAGATACACACACTTATAAATACAATTATGTATTCACAAACTTCTTTCATACCTTAATGGATAAAGAAGACTATAAAAATCCCTCTGGAAACTCGCCACTTCGCTCTACTGTAACCTACAGTTGTCATAGTCAATTAAACGAAGGGGCGGCCAATTAGCATCACTGAATGATAACTCTTGAAAATCACTCTAAATATAGCAAATACCAGTTTTAAAGAAGAAAAAGGCACAATACTGTGACTGGAACATTACACATAAAGGCACAATACTGTGACTGGAACATTACACAAAAAGGCACAATACCGTGACTGGAACATTACACAAAAAGGCACAATACCGTACTGAATATTACAAAAAAAAGGCACAAAACCGTGACTGGGAAAATTACACAAAAGGCACATACTGTGACGGAACATTACACAAAAGGCACAAAACCGTGACTGGAACATTACACAAAAAGGCACAATACTGTGACTGGAACATTACACAAAAAGGCACAATACCGTGACTGGAACATTACACAAAAAGGCACAATACGTGACTGGAACATTACACAAAAAGGCACAATACCGTGTGGAACATTACACAAAAAGGCACAATACCGTGACTGGAACATTACACAAAAAGGCACAATACTGTGACTGGAACATTACACAAAAAGGCACAATACCGTGACTGGAACATTACACAAAAAGGCACAATACCGTGACTGCAACATTACACAAAAAGGCACAATACCGTGACTGGAACATTACACAAAAAGGCACAATACCGTGACTGGAACATTACACAAAAAAGGCACAATACCGTGACTGGAACATTACACAAAAAGGCACAATACTGTGACTGCAACATTACACAAATAACCCTCACATAGGAGAGAGGAGCCTACCACAACGTTTCGGCTCGATTTGGACCATTTAATCAAAAATATCTGTAATCCACTTTTGAAAATTTAAAATACGAAAGGAGTGCAACTTTTTTGAGTACCAATTTTGGTTCATTTAGTGACTTGTAAGAATATTCTGTTTTAATATCTTGCTTAAGGTCCTCTCTTCCCGAAATTATTTAATTAAGTTCCATTTTTTATGGAAATAATAACACAGGAGTCGTCTATCTCGTAAAAGAAGAGAAGGACTATGGGTGCTATGATAACAACGTAAAAAGTACTGAGAGAAGTTGATAGGATGGAAAAGGGCAGATTATTCGAGAGACGGGAAACAAGTTCACGAGGGCACAGTTGGAAGTTGGAAACAGGTGAGTCACAAGGATATTAGGAAAGTGTTTCTTCAGTGTTAGAGTAGTCAGAAAGTGGATGACCTGGAGAGTGGAGTGAAAGAAGCTTGATCCGTATGTAGCTTTGAGAAGAGGTACGATAAGGCTCTCGAAGCCAGGAGTGAACCTAGTAGCGGCTAGGGGCTGAGATTCGACCCCTGCAACCACATATAGATAGGTACGTGAGTACACACACACACACACACACCAACCAAGGTTCATGGACTGATTACATCATCTTTACTACACTGCTACTTGTGCTGACTCTGTATTTGACTGAAGAAACCTACTGTGTAAGCGAAACCTTTCAACAATAACTGTGCAACAGCTGGATGCTGTTGCACAGTTACTCGTCGAAAAATTGGTCTAACTCACCTTGTGTAAACCCCACTCAAATCCAGTCCCTCTCACCCATATATTTGTTCAACCTATTTTTGAAGCTACCTAAGGTTTTAGCTTCAATAACCCTACTAGGCAGTTTGTTCCACTCATGGACAACTCTATTTCAAAATCAGTAATTTCCTACATCCTTTCTAAACCTAAACTTATCCAATTTGAATCCATTATTTCGAGTTCTTTCCTGGATAGATATCCTCAGAACTTTACTTGTATCTCAGTTATTTATGTCTATCTTCCATTTATATAATTCAATCATGTCTTCCCTCATTCTACGTCTTACGTCCAAAGTGTCGTCTTGGAAGGACCAAAACGACGTCCAGGACGTACGAAACTTCATCTTGGACGGACAGAAACGTCATCTAGGATGAATCAAAATGTCGCTTTGTTCTCATTTCCAATTCTTGAATAAGTTGTGAATGATTTCAGTTACGGTACAGTGACAGTTATACTTTATTATATCCCAAATTATTGTACTCAATACTAGCCTAATTTTACCCAATTTTAACATATTTACTTTAATTTTAACATAATTAACCAGGGGCAACGAAGGAAGGCAGCAGGACGGACCCACCTATTGGAGGCGCTGGAGGAAGTGTTCGTGTACTCTTTCTGCAGCAGTCTGGTGTCCCTCTGACAAGAGCCACGCCAGGCTTACCAGACCCTTCCCAACCCTCACCAGCTTCACCTTCTGTTACACCATCAGGATCAACAGGTTCAGGGAGGAGTCTACTCTCCTCTCCTACGCCGTATCTGACGACAAGGACAACGAAATCAGAGTAGGTCAGTCCACGGTGACTTGAGAAAACTATCCATTCTAATGTTGTAGTTAGTAGAAACAGTGCTCAAGCAATCCCTTATCTGACCAACCCTGCAGTTTGTCCAGATAATTTTGCAGCCCTTTTCCCCTCGTCTGTTTTTATTTTCGTTAGTTTTACATCAACAGCGAGTAAAGATAGATTCTGACTCAATTCCATCTGGTATGTCCTTCACAATTAGTTCAGTCTCTTTATTATGCACCCTGTATCCATTTTCTATGCGGTAGTCAAAAATTACAAAGGCACATAATGGGTCCAGGAACTGGGCCGCAAAGTTTGAGGGCAAATTCCTAGGTCTATACCTCAACAACAACCTAAATTTCAGCACCCATATCCAACACATAACAAAAAAAGTATCCAAAACGTTGGGGATCCTCTCCAAGATACGATATTACATGCCGCAAACTGCCCTTCTCGCTCTTTATCATTCACTCATTTATCCATACCTCACCTATGCTATTTGTGCTTGGGGATCAACTGCAGCAACACATCTAAAGCCAATAATAACCCAACAAAAAGCCACAGTAAGAAAAATCACTAAATCCCATCCCTGGCAACCCCCCCCCACTCTTCATAGATCTAAACTTACTCCCTGTTCAGAACATCCACACTTACTTCTGTACAATCTACATATACAGGACCTTAAATTCCAATATTAACCTTGACCTAAAACGCTTTCTTGATAGTTGTGACAGGACCCACAGGCATAACACCAGACACAAACATCTCTATGACATTCCCCGTGTCCGACTAAACCTTTACAAAAACTCAATGTGTGTCAAAGGGCCTAAATCTGGAACACCCTACCTGAAAACTCTAGAACTGCAGACACATTCATCACTTTCAAAACTACAGTTAGAAAACATCCTGGTGGTTCACACTTACACTCACTCACCCACTGACTATAAACACAGAAATACGAATCTTAATCTTAAAATAATGAACCCTAACTAGTCACAAGCTTGCCTATGATACTCCAATGTAGACACTTTGTATTGTGCTAAAACAAAAGCATTCACATTGCTAAACTTACAAACTATAATGTAGTCACTTATCCTTAATACCATAATCTGTAATAATTTAAAGTTTAGAATTAATCTAAGTCTGCCCGAAATGCCTAGCCATGCTAGGTGTTCTAGTGGCCCCCTCTGTAATTAGTATTTTAAAACATGTAAACCACACAATATCCAAAATCTGTAAACCCCGCATTGTAATCCTTATAGAGAATAAACTTGATTGATTGATTGATAGCTAAAGCAAGTTACAGTGGTTCACATAAACCAGAAACAACACTGGTGCTAATACTGATCCTTGTGGTACATCGCTTGTCACTCTTCATTCTAACGTCTCTTCCCAGGCAAACACTCTTTGCTTCCTTTATCTCAGGTACGCCTTAATCCACCGGAGTTACGTTCCCAGTAATAAATTATGTCCTAATAATTGATGCTGTATATCCTATACCTGTATATCCTATACCTGTATATCCTATACCTGGTGTTCGTGCCCGCCAGACCACCGCATGACTGGGTACAAGGTGGCACTGCACAGCACCTGGGGAGATTCAGTGGTGTCGACACCATTTAGACAGTGGGTACACTTCTGTTTCACCTACCAGCACGAGACAGGTGCCTGGCATGTCTACAGGGACGGTCTGTTGGGCCAGCAGGGTAAGCTACCCGTCGTGTCTGGTCCACTGCAACCTAACGGCTCCTTTGTTATAGGTGAGAGAATTATTATTATTATTATTATTATTATTATTATTATTATTATTATTATTATTATTATTATTATTATTATTGTTGTTGTTGTTGTTGTTGTTGTTGTTGTTGTTGTTGTTCGTAGATGTTTAACTGGAGTGTATGTATCAGGTTTTGAGTGTTGTGGATACGTTGGTTCACAGGTCAGGAACAGGACAGCTTCGGTGGAGGATTCCAGGAAGAACAAAGCTTCAGCGGAGAGATCACTCGTCTCAACTTCTGGTTCAGAGTCCTTAACAACACTACCATCACCAAGGTATTAATGTTCAGAGTTCTTAACAACACTACCATCACCAAGGTATTAATGTTCACAGTCCTTAACACTACCATCACCAAGGTATTAATGTTCATAGTCCTTAACACCACTACCATCACCAAGGTATTAATGTTCACAGTCCTTAACAACACTACCATCACCAAGGTATTAATGTTCACAGTCCTTAACAACACTACCATCACCAAGGTATTAATGTTCACAGTCCTTAACAACACTACCATCACCAAGGTATTAATGTTCATAGTCCTTAACACCACTACCATCACCAAGGTATTAATGTTCATAGTCCTTAACACCACTACCATCACCAAGGTATTAATGTTCAGAGTTATGAACACCACTACCATCACCAAGGTATTAATGTTCACAGTCCTTAACAACACTACCATCACCAAGGTATTAATGTTCACAGTCCTGAACACCACTACCATCACCAAGGTATTAATGTTCACAGTCCTTAACAACACTAATCACCAAGGTATTAATGTTGACAGTCCAGAACACCACTACCATCACCAAGGACCTTGACAACAGTACTACAACATCAGTCAGTACTTGTAACCTCGCATAAACCTGGTTGCTATAACACTGTGAATTATTATTTATTTCTCTTCTAATTTATAATGATTGATACACATTTGCCAAAATTGTGACCTACTTTTTCTTCAAGGTGTTTTCTGTGGCTAATTTGCGAACTTTATAATACAGAAGTAATTCATTGTATATCTAGAGTATACATAGAGAGGGTTTCGGGGGTCAACGTCCCCGCGGCCCGGTCTATGACTAGGCCTCATGGTGGATCAGGGTCTGATCAACCAGGCTCTTGTTACTGTTGGCCGCACGCAATCCGACGTACGAACCACAGCCCGGCTGGTCAGGTACCGACTTTAGGTGCCTGTCCAGTGCCTTCTTTAAGACAGTCAGGGGTCTATTGGTAATTTCCCTTATGTATGCTGGGAGGCAGTTGAACAGTCTTGGGCACTTATTGTGTTATCTCTTATCGTGCTGGTGGCGCCCCTGCTTTTCATTGGGGGAATGTTGCATCGTCTGCCGAGTCTTTTGCTTTCACAAGGAATGATTTTCGTGTGCAAGTTTGGTATTAATTCCTTTAGGATTTTCCAAGTGTGATGGTTCTCAATGGAAATAAGTCACTTTGACTTTTTTCGGGGTTATCTTGGGTAATTTTCACATATGTTAAGAAGCTATGTATGATAATTGTACTTATGTGGACCTGTACCTAAATAAACTTGCTGAACAATTTATCATTAATTTATCTCGGAGTTTTGAACAGCCATACCTGGCTTCTCCAGTGAGCATGTTGTTCCAGTGAGCATGTTGTTCCAGTGAGCATGGTGTTCCAGTGAGCATGTTCCAGTGAGCATGTTGTTACAGTGAGCATGTTGTTCCAGTGAGCATGTTGTTCCAGTGAGCATGTTGTTCCAGTGAGCATGGTGTTCCAGTGAACATGTTGTTCCAGTGAGCATGTTGTTCCAGTGAGCATGGTGTTCCAGTGAGCATGTTGTTCCAGTGAATATGTTGTTCCAGTGAGTATGTTGTTCCAGTGAGTATGTTGTTCCAGTGAGCATGTTGTTCCAGTGAGTATGTTGTTCCAGTGAGCATGTTGTTCCAGTGAGCATGTTGTTCCAGTGAGCATGGTGTTCCAGTGAGCATGTTGTTCCAGTGAGCATGTTGTTCCAGTGAGCATGTTGTTCCAGTGAGCATGTTGTTCCAGTGAGCATGTTCCAGTGAGTATGTTGTTCCAGTGAGCATGTTGTTCCAGTGAGTATGTTGTTCCAGTGAGCATGTTGTTCCAGTGAGCATGTTGTTCCAGTGAGTATGTTGTTCCAGTGAGCATGTTGTTCCAGTGAGTATGTTGTTCCAGTGAGCATGTTGTTCCAGTGAGTATGTTGTTCCAGTGAGTATGTTGTTCCAGTGAGCATGTTGTTCCAGTGAGCATGTTGTTCCAGTGAGCATGGTGTTCCAGTGAGCATGTTGTTCCAGTGAGCATGTTGTTCCAGTGAGCATGTTGTTCCAGTGAGCATGGTGTTCCAGTGAGCATGGTGTTCCCTGAGCATGTTGTTCCAGCGAGCATGTTGTTCCAGTGAGCATGTTGTTCCAGTGAGCATGTTGTTCGAGTGAGCATGTTGTTCCAGTGAGCATGTTGTTCCAGTGAGTATGTTGTTCCAGTGAGTATGTTGTTCCAGTGAGTATGTTGTTCCAGTGAGCATGGTGTTCCAGTGAGCATGTTGTTCCAGTGAGCATGTTGTTCCAGTGAGCATGTTGTTCCAGTGAGCATGATGTTCCAGTGAGCATGTTCCAGTGAGCATGTTGTTCCAGTGAGCATGGTGTTCCAGTGAGCATGTTGTTCCAGTGAGCATGTTGTTCCAGTGAGCATGTTCCAGTGAGCATGTTGTTCCAGTGAGCATGTTGTTCCAGTGAGCATGTTGTTCCAGTGAGCATGTTCCAGTGAGCATGGTGTTCCAGTGAGCATGGTGTTCCAGTGAGCATGTTGCTCCAGTGAGCATGTTGTTCCAGTGAGCATGTTGTTCCAGTGAGCATGTTGTTCCAGTGAGCATGTTGTTCCAGTGAGCATAGTGTTAGTCATTATGTAAGTCAAGTTTACCTGGAGTTTACCTGGAGAGAGTTCCGGGGGTCAACGCCCCCGCGGCCCGGTCTGTGACCAGGCCTCCTGGTGGATCAGAGCCTGATCAACCAGGCTGTTGCTGCTGGCTGCACGCAAACCAATGTACGAGCCACAGCCCGGCTGATCAGGAACTGACTTTAGGTGCTTGTCCAGTGCCAGCTTGAAGACTGTTGGTAATCCCCCTTATGTGTGCTGGGAGGCAGTTGAACAGTCTCGGGCCCCTGACACTTATTGTATGGTCTCTTAACGTGCTAGTGACACCCCTGCTTTTCATTGGGGGATGGTGCATCGTCTGCCAAGTCTTTTGCTTTCGTAGTGAGTGATTTTCGTGTGCAAGTTCGGTACTAGTCCCTCTAGGATTTTCCAGGTGTATATAATCATGTATCTCTCCCTCCTGCGTTCCAGGGAATACAGGTTTAGGAACCTCAAGCGCTCCCAATAATTGAGGTGTTTTATCTCCGTTATGCGCGCCGTGAAAGTTCTCTGTACATTTTCTAGGTCGGCAATTTCACCTGCCTTGAAAGGTGCTGTTAGTGTGCAGCAATATTCCAGCCTAGATAGAACAAGTGACCTGAAGAGTGTCATCATGGGCTTGGCCTCCCTAGTTTTGAAGGTTCTCATTATCCATCCTGTCATTTTTTCTAGCAGATGCGATTGATACAATGTTATGGTCCTTGAAGGTGAGATCCTCCGACATGATCACTCCCAGGTCTTTGACGTTGGTGTTTCGCTCTATTTTGTGGCCAGAATTTGTTTTGTACTCTGATGAAGATTTAATTTCCTCATGTTTACCATATCTGAGTAATTGAAATTTCTCATCGTTGAACTTCATATTGTTTTCTGCAGCCCACTGAAAGATTTGGTTGATGTCCGCCTGGAGCTTTGCAGTGTCTGCAATGGAAGACACTGTCATGCAGATTCGGGTGTCATCTGCAAAGGAAGACACGGTGCTGTGGCTGACATCCTTGTCTATGTCGGATATGAGGATGAGGAACAAGATGGGAGCGAGTACTGTGCCTTGTGGAACAGAGCTTTTCACCGTAGCTGCCTCGGACTTTACTCTGTTGACGACTACTCTCTGTGTTCTGTTAGTGAGGAAATTATAGATCCATCGACCGACTTTTCCTGTTATTCCTTTAGCACGCATTTTGTGCGCTATTACGCCATGGTCACACTTGTCGAAGGCTTTTGCAAAGTCTGTATATATTACATCTGCATTCTTTTTGTCTTCTAGTGCATTTAGAACCTTGTCGTAGTGATCCAATAGTTGAGACAGACAGGAGCGACCTGTTCTAAACCCATGTTGCCCTGGGTTGTGTAACTGATGGGTTTCTAGATGGGTGGTGATCTTGCTTCTTAGGACCCTTTCAAAGATTTTTATGATATGGGATGTTAGTGCTATTGGTCTGTAGTTCTTTGCTGTTACTTTACTGCCCCCTTTGTGGAGTGGGGCTATGTCTGTTGTTTTTAGTAACTGTGGGACGACCCCCGTGTCCATGCTCCCTCTCCATAGAATGGAAAAGGCTTCTTGCAGTTCTTGATGAACACAGAGTTCCATGAGTCTGGCCCTGGGGCAGAGTGCATGGGCATGTCATTTATCGCCTGTTCGAAGTCATTTGGCGTCAGGATAACATCGGATAGGCTTGTGTTAATCAAATTTTGTGGCTCTCTCATAAAAAAATCATTTTGATCTTCGACTCTCAGTCTGGTTAGCGGCTTGCTAAAAACTGAGTCATATTGGGACTTGAGTAGCTCACTCATTTCCTTGCTGTCATCTGTGTAGGACCCATCTTGTTTAAGTAGGGGCCCAATACTGGACGTTGTTCTCGATTTTGATTTGGCATAGGAGAAGAAATACTTTGGGTTTCTTTCGATTTCATTTATGGCTTTTAGTTCTTCCCGCGATTCCTGACTCCTAAAGGATTCTTTTAGCTTAAGTTCGATGCTTGCTATTTCTCTGACCAGTGTCTCCCTACGCATTTCAGATATATTGACCTCTTTTAGCCGCTCTGTTATTCTTTTCCGTCGCCTGTAAAGGGAGCGCCTGTCTCTTTCTATTTTACATCTACTCCTCCTTTTTCTTAGAGGAATAAGCCTTGTGCATACATCGAGTGCCACCGAGTTAATCTGTTCTAGGCATAAGTTGGGGTCTGTGTTGCTTAGTATATCTTCCCAGCTTATATCGGTTAGGACTTGGTTTACTTGGTCCCACTTTATGTTTTTGTTATTGAAGTTGAATTTGGTGAATGCTCCCTCGTGACTAATCTCATTATGTCGGTCTGGGGCTCCGCGCATACATGACTGAACCTCAATTATGTTGTGATCTGAGTATATTGTTTTTGATATGGTGACATTTCTTATCAGATCATCATTGTTAGTGAAGATGAGGTCTAGTGTATTCTCCAGTCTAGTAGGCTCTATTATTTGCTGGTTTAAATTGAATTTTGTGCAGAGATTTAAAAGCTCGCGTGAGTGTGAGTTTTCATCAGAGCTGCCTCCTGGTGTTATTACTGCCTTAAGTTGAAATCCCCCAGGAGCAAGATGTTGGGTGCAGGAGCTGGAAGATTTTCCAGACAGTGGTCAATTTTTAACAGCTGTTCCTGGAATTGCTGGGATGTTGCATCCGGAGGCTTGTAGACTACCACAATGACTAGGTTTTGGTTCTCGACCTTTACTGCTAAAACTTCCACTACATCATTTGAGGCATTTAGCAGTTCTGTGCAAACAAGTGACTCTGCAATGTACAGGCCAACCCCCCCCCCCTTTTGCCTGTTCACTCTGTGACATCTGTATAGGTTGTAACCTGGGATCCATATTTCGTTGTCCAAGTGATCCTTTATGTGGGTCTCAGTGAAAGCCGCGAACATTGCCTTTGCCTCTGCAAGCAGTCCACGGATGAAAGTGTCTTCAGTGTTGACATAGAATTAGCAATAATCAAGGCATCAGACTCAGGTTTTGGGGGAAGGATTTGAAGATATGTAACAGTAAAATGAACGTTCCAGAGAGGTGTGAAAGACTTTGGTTGTTCACAGAAATACAGTTCGTGCAGGTTAAATACTGTGCAGAACAAGTTACATACCTGGAGGTTATTGCGGGGATCAACGCCCCCGCGGCCCGGTCCATGACCAGGCCTCCCGGTGGACCAGGGCCTGATCAACCAGGCTGTTACTGCTGGCCGCACGCAGTCCAACGTACGAGCCACAGCCCGGCTGATCCGGCACTGACTTTAGGCATCTGTCCAGCTCTCTTGAAGGCAGCCAGGGGTTTATTGGTAATTCCCCTAATGCTTGATGGGAGGCTGTTGAACAGTTTTGGGCCCCGGACACTTATGGTGTTTTCTCTTAGTGTACCAGTGGCGCCACTATTAATTGGGGGCATTTTGCATCGCCTGCCCAGTCTTTTACTTTCGTAGGGAGTGATTTCTGTGTGCAGATTTGGGACCATTCCTTCCAGGATTTTCCAAGTGTAGATTATGATACATCTCTCCCTCCTGCGTTCCAACGTGTATAAGTCAAGTGCTTCCAAGCGTTCCCAGTAGTTAAGGTGCTTGACAGAACTTATACGTGCAGTAAAGGTTCTCTGTACACTCTCTAGATCTGCGATTTCACCTGCTTTGAATGGAGATGTTAATGTACAGCAGTATTCTAGCCTAGAGAGAACAAGTGATTTGAAAATGTTTAGTTCTAGATCTTTTGCACTCTTGTGCGTTGTCAAGAGCTATGCAATGTTGCAAGACAGCAGCAGATAGGAGGGGAAAATCTCTGAGGTAAGGCAGAAGGTATCAATGGCCTGTTTGCGATTGTATTGCAAAATAAATACTGTATTTACATACTTTCATATATTTCTAGACATTTACCAAGGTTTGTGTTAACTGAGACTAACACTGTACATAGTGTTAAAATATTTGGAAATGAACCAGAGTTAATTTCTATATATTTTAATACCGAGTACAGTATTAATCTCTAGTATGCTATTAGTGATACCAGGAACACCAACTCCTTCCTCATATTAAAAACCTCGGTAGTTCAAGACAGCCAATGATGATTCTGAGGGCTTAGTTTTGCTTTAGCTCTAACGTCGGGAGGGAATTTTTTTTAGTCATCATGAACATGGGTGCAGAATAATCAATGAGTGCTATAACACAGGCTATGGACATTATTCTTACATGAGCACCATAGCTGGGATTGTACTAACAACAGCTGGTACAACCATCATTATTTATCTGTAAAGAACATTATTATTATTATTATAATCAAGGGGAAGCGCTAAACCCGGAGGATTATACAGCGCCTGGGAGGGATGTGGAAGGCATTCAGGCTTAATTCTGTAAAGAACAAAAAGTGACAATACCGTGACTGGAACAATACACAAATAACCAGCACCTGGGGGAAAGAAGCTTATGACGACGTTTCGGTCTGACTTGTACCATTCAGTAATTACACGGGTTAGTAGTCAGTGGTCCAAGTCGGACCGAAATGTCGTTATAAGCGTTTAACATTGCTACAAAAGCTGTTTCTCATTCTGTGTATTCCTCTCCGGGTGTTTATGAGCAGCTGGCTCGCTGTGAGACAGAGGAAGAAGGAGACGCCCTCAGTTGGTCCAAGGAGACCTGGAACATCTCTGGGGAGGTGGCGTGGACGGTGAGGGAGACGCAGCAGGTGTGTGAACGCAAGACACGACGCATCCTCATCTTCCCTAACAGGTTCTCACTCAAGGCTGGTCTTCACCTCTGCAAGGTACACTCCTGTTGTCCGTCATAGTGTACAGCTATACTGTAAGTAAATATTAGGCCTAAGGTAGTCAGAATGAGAGTATAGACTTAATCGTTAGAGCACTGGAAATTGTTTAATTATTATTATTATTATTATTATTATTATTATTATTATTATTATTATTATTATTATTAATTATTATTATTATTATTTTAAAGAGCTAAATAACCTTTATTAAGAATAGAATACATTCTGAGTGAAATACCAAGAATTCAAATGGCACTTGTCTTTCAGTTGTATGAACCAGGTGTGTTTAAGGCACTTGTTTAACAGCCAAATGTGTGTGCAAGACACTTGTTTTAAAGACGAGTGAGCCAGATGTGTGTGTGTATATATTGTAGGTGGTGGGAGGTAGAATAGCAGTGCCTCAGTCAACTGCTGAGAACATTTGGCTCTACAACGTCACCCAGCAGGACGCCGAGTACTGTACCGGAGGGCAAGGCTCTAATTACTTGTGGCTGGGTGCCACCGACCAATGGCACGAGGGCCAGTGGCAGTACTGGGATTCGGGCCAGACAGTGCCCTGGATTGGGCCCTGGAGGGGGTCGGGACCCAACGGTGGAGTCGTGGAGAACTGCCTGGTCCTGCAGACCGTGCCCTTCATGGACCAGTGGTCTGACATCGCTTGCCTGGACACCTACGAGTTCTGCGTGCCCTGTGAGTTCATTAGTTCTCCTGTTCTCTACCTGAGGGGCCCGGCGGTGTGCCCAACCTCGCCCTTCAATCGTCAGTATGCCCTGGTGGAGAAGCGCGGCGGTAAACTCGCCTTGGATGGCTATCTTCACTCGGATATCTTCTGGGACCCCAACAACTCCACATGGGTCATTAAGTCTCTTAAGGTTAGCTAAGACACAACTTCTGTTGTTGCTAATTTATTATTATTATTAATTATTATTATTGTTGTTGTTAATTATGATTAATATTGTTAATTATTTTTCATGTTATGATTATTATGATTAATATTGTTAATTATTTTTCATGTTATGATTAATATTGTTAATTATTTTTCATGTTATGATTATTATGGTTATTATTACTGTTGTTAATTATGATTATTATTGTTGTTAAATTATTATTATTGTTGTTTATTAGTTTTTAACACGCTGGCCGTCTCCCGTCAAGGCAGGGTGACCCGAATAAGAAACACTTTCACCATCATTTACACTATCACTGTCTTGCCTGAGGTGCACAGATACGTTAGTTTAGATGCCCCTCTAAACAGTAAATATCCCAAACCCTTTCTTTAAAGTGCAGGTACTGTACTTCTCACCTCCAGGACTCAAGTTCGGCTAACCTGTTTCCCTGAATTCCTTCACGAAATATTACCTTGCTCACACTCCAACAGCTCATCAAGTCCCAAAAACCATTTGTTCCCACTCACTCCTATCTAACACACTCACACAAGCCTGCAGTATGTCCGAGCCCTTTACACACAAAACCTCTTTTACTCCCTCCCTCCTTCCTTGTCTAGGACGACCCCTTTTCCCCCTCCTCTCCACTACAGATTTATACACACCCTCCAAGTCATCCTATTTTGCTCCACCTCTCTAAATGACCAAACCGCCTCAACAACCCCTCCTCATCCCTCTGGAGATTAGGAGGTTCTCTTGAGGTTTTATTCTGTTCGCAAACTGTTCGTTGTCCTTCCAGAGTTGACGTCTACGTACTTCCTTCTCGGAGGCATAAATACTCCTTTGTCGATTCATCAGATCTATTATGTATTTGAAAGCCAATTCTACCATGCCTGTGTCTGGTTTCTGACACGAGCATGTCACAATTGACACTCATCGGGTCAAGACCAACTTCACATTCCTGTGTACTCGATGAAGCCCAGCCTTGGGCGAAGTGTTGTATTAAGAGGATCCTCTGTGTATTGTTGCAGTCACCGTGTTGTGTATTGTTGTAGTCACGGTGTTGTGTATTGTTGCAGTCACGGTGTTGTGTATTGTTGCAGTCACGGTGTTGTGTAATGTTGCAACCACAATGTTGTGGCATTCTGCAAGTTGTTAATATAGTGAGTGATGGTGTTGCAGGAGGCAGGTGCAGCTGCAAGTTGGAAACCTTCAGATGATGGTAAGTACCCGCTGGGTACCAACACCTGGGTACTGGCTGGCAAGTTATGCGGGATGAAGCCTGGTGAAGAGGTCAACTTGACACTGTCAGTGTGTGAGACTGGAGAGTTTACCTGTGCTGACGGTTCCTGCATCAAGCTTTTCCAACGCTGCGACCTGCGCATTGACTGCCCCGACCAGAGCGACGAGGCACAGTGCTCAGTGGTCGAGGCTCCTGATAGCTACAGGAAAACCATCCCCCCGCCATCCATCGTAGAAGGCAAACCCCTCGACATTTTCTTTATGATCGACCTCACCTCCTTCCCCTCCATCGCCACGCAAGACTTGACCTTCATCACCAACTTGAACCTGAAACTACGATGGCAGGACGTGCGTTTGACCTACAAGAACCTGCACAACGACTCTACCCTCAACCTTCTCACCAGCGAGTCCATCGCCAACCTCTGGACACCCAGAGTCTTCTTCAGCAACGCCCAGGGCAACGTCTTCACCAACTTGGATCAGGGAGCTCACGTCGAGTGCATTCGTCAAGCTCCGTCCAAGCCTGCTCCCCCGGAGTTTACTCATGAAAGTCAGTGCCGAGACCTTGTGCATGAGTCTATCCCCTCACCACAGGCATGAGTCAGTTCGGTCACCACATAAGTCACTACCAACCATGAATTTATTCCTCCAACACAGGCATGAGCTACTTCAAAACTCTGTCATAATGCACATATGACCAAGGGCGGATCTGTGATACTAATGAAACCTAAGCTTTAGGGGACTGTGCTCCAGTTTCTGACGCGGTCATGATAATTATGCGAAAAATATGATTTTGGGTTTTGTTTACAGAAAAATAGTGTAAGTATCTGTGAACATTTTGGTGAAAACCCCATCTTAATACGATGTTTCTAAAGCAAATTATAGCTACTTGAAACATGTCAGGTGACGATCCGCCAGGTAAATATATCCGTAAGTACGAGGTGAGTTTTATATATATATATATTATATATATATATATATATATATATATATATATTATATATATATATATATATATATATATTATATATATATATATATATACCTCTAGAACTGTCATGGGGACCCTCATCCTCAGAGAAAAGAATAAACTTGCTTCAGGGAAAACTCAAGATTCTCCCTGAAGCTGTTTCAGAATTTTCTCCTACCACCCCTATATTATGTATATATATTTTATTTAAAGACAAAATACATTGACGAAACATTCACAAAAATATGATACAAAGTAAAACAACATAGGTAACTCAGAGCTACATCTCGAATACTTCGTCCAGCTCCCCTGCGGTGGGCCGCGTGCCCAGAATGCTGCAGGCATTTCCTCTCTGGATCGCAACACTGAGTCTCTGAAAGAGGAAGCTGGTGCCCTGTGGTCCTTGGTTTCTATGATGAGCTTTTCACCCAGCTCTTTGAGGAACTTTAGAGCACACTTGCCCCATGCTCCAAGGGTCTCCGACCCTATTGGAATGAAGTTATAGCAAGGGGGAAGGTCTTCATATTTTCGGATCTTCTGGGTCTCCCTGTGGCTGGCAGCTCCACCCCCTTCCACTACAGAGTATGGCAAGTAGGTGTCTGCCAATGTGGCAGCACAGGTGTAGTCCCAGGCATATATATATATATATATATATATATATATGTGTGTGTGTGTGTGTGTGTGTGTGTGTGTGTGTATTTTTTTTAATTTTCTGTCTAAATTTACCACTTAATATCATTACAATGTGGGAGGAGCTTACACCAGAGGTGGGAGGAGCTTGCATGATGATGCAGCATCCAGTTGCCGTGATAACAGTCTGATCAACTCTCACAAGATGTCTTATACTGACGCTATTATTACTAATATCCTTTTTCTGCTTATATCATTTATTCAATAGTGATAGTATGCATGATATAACTTGGATAAACGCATAAGAAAACCAGCCAAAATAATATTTGTATATTATACCCGGAGGTGGTGGCTGACTTTGATGAAATGATTACATTAGACCTTCCCTATAAGAAAAGGGTTTTCTATGTTACCTTTGGTAGCACTAGAGAAAACGGTATTATTAACACGGGAAACAATAAGAAATCACTTACATCGCATAAACCCAAAGTAGCGCGATTTTCGTGATTTTTTTTTTAAATTTCCTGACGTAATTTGCTAGTCCGCACTTTACCCAAATATCTCGAAACTAGGATTTTGGTCTATTGCTTGTCACTGGACCATTATTAATGATTGGATTGAAATGATTTTCACAAACAATATAAAACAAAGTGTGTTTGAATATATTAAAGTGAACTTTTTGGAATATCTCAAATATTTTTTATTTTGTGGGGGTAAAAGGCAGATATTTTGGTGAATGTCAAAAAAGCGCACCAAATGTATTTTTTTTTCACCATAATAATAAGGTATATTAGATGAATTGTATCCATTAAATATTCGTTTTAGACGTATTCAAACAGTTAGAATTGTCGGAAGTGTCACTCGTAGTGCCAATTTGTCATGCCATGCTGCCATGTCAAAATCAGTAAATATTTTTTTTTCTCCGTTGTTTGTTGGCCAATCATATTGAAACTTTGTCATATTCAATTACATATGCACTTCTAGACGTACACTAAAAATAAAAGAAATAGGGCGAAAAATAAAGGAGGGGAACGAAATTGGAACACAGTCTCCTTTTTTAGGGTCCCTAATCCAAGAGGGGCCCCAGAAGCCACTTTAGTCCACATTGCTTAAAAATTTTGGGTATACTGTATGAGAAGGGGTTGCAAAGGGGCCCCCATAACAGTCCAATCTTCAGGGGCCCCAAAAATGTAGGTCCCCCACTGCATGTGACCACTTGACCTCACGATATAAAACCCACTCTTAATCACGTGTGAACATTTGACTATACAACTCACTCTGTTAAAATTAACATGTGATTTTTCCCACTTTAATAGTCTTGGTATAATTAGTAAAGAAGCAGGTGATGATAGAACATTGTTATGTTACAGTGAACATCTTCTCTGGACGAGAGAACAGCATGGAGATGGGGCAGCTGTACACCGTTACACACAGTTGTGACTTTAACCTTCTGATGTTCCCCTTTGATGCTCAGGTAAGTAACTACCATCACCATTAGTACTACTACTACAACTACCATCACCACTACTATCATGGTGCTTACATATTACGTATATCCACGTGACTTAGCATGTCCTTCCACGATCACCATTTATCATGGGTGGGACGAGCTAAAACCACTGGAGTCCATACAGCACTTGGGGAATGGGAGGTAATGAGGTTTAGTCCAAGGATGGGGAGGTTAACTCCCACTCCGTGGATGAAGAGGCCTTCACCAGCATCTCCAATGATGAAATGAGAAAGGTTGAGACACAAATCAGTCACAAGTAAAAAATGTCTCCTACATTAGTGACTCACAGGAGGGCCCCATTTACGGGCAGGTTGGGGGTTCCAGGTACTGTTGTAGGGAAAAAAAATCGCTGTAAAGGAATCATAAACTTTTTCACTTTTAAATGATAACAAGCTGATAACTGTTTAAAATATCATATATTAAGTGAGCAATAGAGCTAGGCCTTAAAAAATGATATACAGTACACACATTACACTCCTTAAAATATTTTCGCCCGTATAGTGAGTGGTGAATATGTTTATTGTAGGAAGTTTGAATAAATGAAGAATGGGTACAACTGAAAACCGCTGTATTAGCGAAACACTGTAAAGCAGTGCTGTAAAGCGGGGCTCTCCTGTACTTTACTCTTAACCAACTGTAATAAAGCATCCATAACTCCTAGTATAAGTAAAAAAATATTGTATATGTATATGATAAATACTCCTGACCAGTTCTTTATTGCTTCCTACATTGAGAAATAAATTGCTCTCATTCCCTGGATCAAGAGACCTTTACCCTTCTTGGGAAGGCCCCAGGATAGCAAGCCTCCAGGGGTTAATACCCCCAGAGAGTCTTTTTCTCAGGGCTCTAGAATACCAGTGTTATTACATGCTTAACACATGTTTCCACAGGTGTTTAACAGATATTACAGCAGATACTATACGAGTTTAACGGATTGCTACAGATGTTTCACACAAGTGGTGCTACATGTGTCCAGTGCAGGTGTTGCCACAGGTGTCTATAATGTGTTGGCACAGGTGTTGCCCAGGTGTTCATCAAACACAGGTGTTGCCCACAGGCATCAAACACAGGTATTGCCCACAGGTAACAAACACAGGTGTTGCCCACAGGTATGCTCGTTATACTTCACGTTGGTGTCAGCAGCGTCCACCTACATGGTCCTGGTGCCCTTCGCTGCCAACTACAGTGGACCCAAGAATCTTATCGAGTATACGATAGGTAAGAGATTTTCTTACATTCACTACGTTGGTGTTGTTCTTACAGAAAGATCTAAACCCATGTGGTCTGGCATTATAAATGTTGTTATGTCTGTTATATACTCGGAGTGTATGTACACAAGCACCTAAAGTCAGTTCCGGATCAGCCGGGCTGTGGCTCGTACGTTGGTTTGGTGCAGCCAGCAGCAACAGCCCTGGTTGATTCAGGCCCGTTCCACCAGGAGGCCTGGTCACAGAGGGCCCCGCGGGGGCGTTGACCCCCGGAACTCTCTCCAGGTAAACTCCAGGTAAACACATCTCGGAGTGTATACACTGCTACACTACTTTGTATATACAGTGAGAAACACCTCTGTATAGTTAGACATGCATCTTAGTGTATATACTCTGAAACATACACCCCTGGGTGTATATACAGCAATATACACCCCTCGATGTATACATAGTGAGACATACACCCCTCAGTGTATTCAGTGAGAAACATACACTCTTCTGTGTAAATACACCGAGGGTTGCACCAGTTTATATACTCTTCCCCTATGTACTGTATATTATTATGTACAGTACATGGAGAAGTGGTAAAACTTAAGAGCCATACATCTATGAAATCATGGGAGTACATAAGAGCACATGATAGTACATGGGAGTGCATGAGGATACATGGGAGTACATGAGGGTACATCCACTTTTTAACTCCATTTATTAAAGTACGTAAGTTAAGTACTCAGCCGATAATCAAGTGGCCCTGGGTTCGATCCCCAACAAAGGACTGTTGTGGGTCGTATCCTTGAGGATTCCTACAGAAATAAACGATAACTTACGCAAAAGCTCTATCAAATTACGACTTGACAAAGTTCAACACAAAGCGAAACATTGGCCCAATTAAAGCTCGTTCCAGAACGTGTCTTAACTCAAAGGATAACGGTGTCCCATAGCTCAGTTGGTAGTGCACTCAGCTCACACACTGAGTGTCCATGGTTTGATCTCCGGTACAGATGAAAACAACAGCTTGTTTCCTTAAGAGACCTGCTGTCCCTGTTTACATAGCAGCAAGTAGGTACCTGGGTGTTAGTCAACTGGTGTGGATCGCATTCTGGGGACAAAATTAACTTAAATTGTCCGAAATGCTCTGCATACCCAGGGGCTATTATACAGTATGTCATTGATGTCAGCTAGGTCTGTATAAGTTGCGTCATGTACTTGTAGTAATAAAGGTTATTAATATCATCAGGTGAAGTGAGTATGCTGGTGAAGCAGGATGGTGAGTTCTCCAGTGTGGGCATCAAGGTGAGGTTCTATCGCCGCTATGGTTTCTACCTGCTCACCCTCTACATCCCTACTACACTGCTTATAGTCATTGCCTACGCTTCTTTCTTCTTCAACCCCGAGGATTTCAACTCTCGCATTACCGTCGCTCTCACTGCCCTCCTTGTCCTGGCCTCATTATTCACACAGGTGAGATGTTCCTTACTCTCCTGTTGTCTTCCATGATCTCATGGTAAGCTGGGCTGAAACTGTTTACTTAGGCACAAGCTGAAATTCCCATGATATCTGCATTCTCTCGTAATAGTGGGATGTTTGTCTTTCATTGTACTGAAGTCATCTGGCTCAAGATGGATTTTATAACTTCATTCTTTGTGTAGGAAATTCATCCTGTGTGATAGAGTATGGCAGGAAAACCTTCATGTGTGAACAAGGAATATCTTCATGTGCACCTGATGTCTGAACATTTATACCCCTCAGGGAAGGTTCCTTGATGTTGGTGAGGGGCTCTTGATTTAGGGAATTGGATCTATGCTCCAGTTCCCTGAATTAAGCCTGAATGCCCTTCCACATTGCCCCCCAGGCGCTGTATAATCCTACGGGTTTAGCGCTTCCCCCTTGATTATAATAATAATAATGAACATTGATGGCTTAATGGCCGAGTGGACTAAGACATTTCGGAATGTTTTCTCTTGGCAGGCTTCTCGCGAGGCGTGCAAAAATTAACAAGTAATCTATAACATGCAATGTGTACAATCATTATCATTATATTGAAAAGTAAACAGTAAACCCATAAGGGTGATACATCTTCAACAATGATTATAATGAGAGTTGTTATGTATCGCTAACAGACATCCAACTCGCTGCCCAAGACATCTTACTTCAAGCTGGTCGATGTGTGGCTTTTCTTCTCCATCGTTATCATCTTTTTTGTGGTAATGCTTCAGACACTGGTGGACTTTGCTGCAGACAAGAACTGGTTCTCCTGCCTCTCTAATAAGAAATCAACTAAGATACAGGTTAGTGTAATGCTATCTTTCTCTGTGGGTACGAACTGTTCTGAAAAGATTTTAATTTTGATCACAGGGAGTGCTAGACCCATAGAGGTCATGTAGCTCTCCCGCTTAAAGAGCAGAGCAATATGTATAAGGGATGTTGACCCATGAAATACCCTCCAGGTATGATAAAGTATTCTCTGATCCTCCTCATATCAGTTATTGCATGCAGTCTTCTCACAGACTTGCTACCTTGTAAATGGCATTCCTATGTTGCATAATTCCAGTCTCCTTGTGCCTCAATGTATGCAACAGAACAGTGCAGAGTGCAGTAAAAGTTTTCATGACAGTTAAATATTAGCGTTGAAGATTAGAAGGGAATCAGAAAAGGCATTCACAAGTCATCATGCAAAACTAAAATCCAAATTTCTGCAATGAAAATAGTAAATTAGGACATATACAGCCCCTATCTGATCCAAACTATCCAGAAAGATTAAAGAAACCAATATCCTAAAATACACGAGCACGTCAGTTTGAAATCGTTCAGAAGTTGCATTGTCAAGTTATCAGCATTGAAAGGTTGAGATTAATCATATATGTGTGTGTGTGTTCGTTCAATTGTTGCTATGAGATGAACCTCTGAGCAGAGGCATCGCTAGGGTTAGTGTCACCCGGGGCGACATATTTGGCGTGACCCCCATGAAATCCAAGGGCAGGGGGGATGGAGGGGAGTAAACACCAGTTACGTTACTACTGCATGACCAACAACCAATGTTTACCAATGAGAGCATTTAAGGGCCATAAACTGAGCAGGAGAATACTTCTCAACTTTATTAATGATAAAATAAATAATCGTAGTAATACTGTATTGAAGAAACATAAATTCAAATACCACTTTGAGTACAGGCAACAGATCCTACACTTCTGATTTGACCTTGGGTACAGGTAACATCTCAGTGAATCTGATCTTACATTTCCTTGCCTTCAATCCTGCAAAATCATCTATCACATCATCAAAATAATGATTTTTCCCTATATAGGCCTATTTGTACTCTGTAATCGTATAACAGGTTATATAGAAATGAAGGATTCTTCTCTTATGTTAGTGCAGCATTGTTTTGGGCATTAGTGTCACCTTTAGAGGCTGTATGGTGTCACCCCCTAAATGATCTCACCCTGGGTGCCCCCCATCCCTTATGGCACTACTGCCTCTGAGCAGCTATAGTGACAGCTGGTTCAGTTGTTGCTATGAGATAATGAACTTCTGAGTGACTGTGTGCTAAAGGAATAACTTGAAACAAGGGCAGATATATCTTTTAACTTGTTAACAAAAAGTAATAATAAACAGTTAAGCCAGAGGCTGCCACAGTGAAAAACTCTGTTCCACAAGGCACATCCTGTTCCTCAACTCATTTTTCACATACAGATGTAAACTATAGCACTGTCTTCCTGTGCAGACAATACTAGAGTTTGCATGTCATTCACTGAGGACACTGTAAATCTCCAAGTTGACATAAATCAAGTCTTCCAGTGGGCCACAGAAAACAATGTGAAGTTCAGCACGGACAATTTTCAGTTATTTCATTTTGGAAAACGAGAAAATAAAAGCTAGACTGGAGTATAAAACAAATCCTAATCAACAGTAGAGCGAAAAATTAATGTGAAGGACTTAAGAGTTGTAATGTCAGACTTTCTCATCTTTAAGGACCACAACAGTGGCATTATCACAACTGCGAGTAAAATGATAGGATGCATAATGAGAACCTTCAGCAAGTGATACCAAGCCAGTGATTGCTGTTCTCTCTAGACTGGAGTAGAGTTGTATACTAACAGCTCTTTTCAAGGCATTGTGGGTTTAGTGCTTAGTTTTTAATGTAACAATAAATTTTTCAAGGCAGGCAAAATTGCAGATCTAGAGAATGTACAGAGAATCTTCATTTCACGAATAAGTTCAGTCAAGCACATTAATTACTAGGAACGTTTGAAGTCCCTTGACCTGTACTTCTTAGAACACAGGAGAAAAAGATACATCATAATTTACACCCAGAAAATCCTAGAGGAACTAGTCCCAAATCTGCACACAGAAATCAATCCCAATGAAAGCAAAAGACTCAGCAGATGGTGCAACATCCCCCCAATGAAAACAAGCAGGAGAGCTGTGAGTACATTGAGAGAAAACATACTAAGTGTTAGGGGCCCAAGACTTTCAGCAGCCACCCACCATACATAAGGGAGACTACCAATAGACCCCTAGTACCTGACCAGCCAGACTATTATTTGTACATTGGATTGCTTGCAGCCAGCACTAACAGCCTGGTTGATCAAGCCCTGATTCCACTGGGAGGTCTGGAAGTAGACCAGGCCATGGGGGCATTGACCCCTGGAACACCCTCTAGGTAGACTGCCATCAAAGAACCTGCCTTGAGGGGTTCACCAGCTTAAAGAATTACAGCCTGTCTTCACTTAGCGACGTACTCGTTTACCGACAACTTGGACTTACAACGCTCTCTGACCACCATGCATACTTAAATAATGTATATTAGAGCTGATTTTCTCTATTCTGTTTATTACAGTATACTGCACACTACTGTATAAACATTTAAAATTATACTAAAAATGTTATAAATGGTGCAAAGGTGACATTAAAACAATATCGAAGATAGTTGACACAAACTCACTACCATTATAGTGACGAATTCGTTTACCAATGTGGTCTTAGGAACGGAACTCCATCATTCAGTGAGGAGAGGCTGTATATTCATGGATAAGCACATAACCTGTAAGGGTCATATAGCTATTGAGAACTTGAAGGTATGTAATATTGCTTGATATAAGGATGAGAATAGCTCCAGTTCCTTGGATCATGAGCTCTTCATGAGCATCAAGGCACCTCTCTTCAACAGCCACAGCATTAAGGCTATCTCCCTTGAAGGGCATCCCTTGAAATAATGTCGTTGTTCTCTTGACTAGGTTACATCATACGTAGTTTGATTTGGCACTATTCTTACCAAGAGTAATGACTTAGTCAACTCCATTTCTGAAATGATCATAACCTCTGTAATTTAACTCAGTACAGTATAATCTTAATGCAGCTTATACTAGGCCCTGAAAAAAATCATGGCCCAACTATACTACATATATGAAACCCTTCTAACATGAGCTGGGTGACCTTAATCCAAGTTCATGTAAGGCCTCTTTGGAAAATTACAGATTCTAAAGTAGTGTTTGCATGTCCTGCTTGTGTATAGGTGCTGGACAAGACAGGGCGGAGGACGAAAGAGGCCTTCATGGGCCCCAGCTTCCCAAGGGTGGCTGGACAGTATGACATGGCAGTGTTGAACTTTAGCAGAATCATCATACCAATTCTCTTCTTCATCTTCAATATTATCTACTGGGCCTCTGCCATCCGGTGAGTCTTTATATATTTTTTTTTATATGAATGGTTTACAATACCCAAAAAAAGAAGAATTAGTAAGTGCAACATCTGGGTATCTTTATTTGTAGATGTTCCAGTGGCCTTATTGTTACTATACAAGGGCATAATGCATACAGTTCTATAGGCTTCACATTATGTCCTTGAACTGTATTTATAAAGCCACTGGATGGCAAAACACCTACAAATAAAGATACTCAGATGTTGCACATGTGTCTTAATTCTTCACTTTAGTTTTTTAATAACCCTTTCAGGGTCCGTCCCGTAGATCTACGGCTTTACGTCAGGGTCCAAACCGTAGATCTCGCCATGAGCTCAGCTCACTTGATAAACTGTGAGTGGTACATTTGGGCCCTAGTATGAGAGAATACATCTATGTGGTAGTGGCACACATAAAAAAACAGACCTGCAGCACACTGTGTATATGAGAGAAAAAAAATGAAATCATGATTTTTCGATTAAAACAGCAACTTTGCAGTGTATTTTCGTATGTTTTTTTTATAGTTGTATTTGCGATTTCTTGGTCTCATTTGATAGAATGGAAGACATATTACAGAAATAGAGATGATTTTGATTGGTTTTAGCACTGGAAATGGCTTGAAACTGAGCTCAAAGTAGCAGAAATGTTAAATTTTTGCCGATATTCAAGAGTAAACAAACGACCTCACACGTCTAATACACATCAGCTGGTGGGTCTAATATACATTCACAAATATGGTGATGATATTTATACAATTATTACAGTATTGCATAACAGTAAATCTTCTATTTTTTGGTGTGAATAAAAATTCATTATGTGAATAAAAAAATAAAAATGGAATTTATTTGTAAAGCCTCAAAACATAACTAATGAACAGAGGAAATGTTAGTTTAGTGCCAGGAATGCCTACATTGTTCATTCTGGACCCTATTTTGAAATTGGAATATTTTGAACTTTGTGTTAAATTGGCCAAATTAACAATTTCCGATCACTTTATTTTGTAGTTGAAAACAGTTGACTTGGCGATTTCTTGTGCTCAATCGATAGAATAGAAGTAATACTAGTGAAATAGCTAAGAATTTGGTTGACTGGAATAATGTAATTGGCCTAAAATGGGAGTCAAAGTCGGCAAAATCGCCGATTCGTAAATATCGCTGACACATCAAAATTCGCGAGAGCATAATTTCGTCAATTTTCCACCAAATTTCGTACTTTTTGTTTTATTACCTTCACAAAAAGATTCTCTACGATTTCATAAGAAAAAATAACAAATTTTTTTTTTGAAAATTCTTGGACACTGGTGCGTGACTCCAGATTTGGGCCTTGGACCCTGAAAGGGTTAACTCCTCTTTACTCATAGTTTTTATTTTACACTGATTACAAAATACAATAACTTCACTATCTTCCATCACACTCAGTCTCTTGCCCCTCATCCTCCTTTCCCTTAAACAACACACCACATTTTTCCCACCACTCTTCTTACCCCAGCAAGTAAAACTCAAAACTCCTCACACTCATCATTAATGCTCCCCACTCAGATTCAATTTATCTAAATTATCTACAACTGTGCCAATGTTGGTGGCATGCTGCCCTACATATCCTAGTTGCTCTGGCACTTTGTGGAAGTAAATGATCCATAACAATGCATAATTTATAGTTTTTATATATAAAACAACGTGAGTAAAAGACTATTATACCTCACCAAAAGGGAAAATCTAGTTACTCTTTTTGTTAGGGGCAAGAGTATAATTTTTATTATTTTAGTAGAGCAATAAAGTAGTTAGCAGCAACTTTGCTTAGATGTATTGTTTATTTGTTCTCAGTTACCTGCTTCAGCTGGACATGTAGAGGGGAGCCCAGCCCTTCAGAAGTTGCCAGGAAACACCATGTAATGAGTATTATTATTGCTATATTCATTAAAAGTGATAACTGCTATAACAAATAGCTTTGAAAGATCATCACCATTCATTCAGACTTCTAATTTCATTATACATAAATACTTTGTCTAGATTACACTTCCTAATACTACACCATCTCCTTTAAAGAAGAATAGATTATGTCCAGACATGAATAAAGTTTAAAAGCCATTTGTATAGTTTTTTTAAATTTTTTAAGTATTATTAGATTTCTCTAAAGGGTGCCTTGTAGTTGCCTGAATTTTCTTATATTTATAACTTGAGAACATCTCACCTGACCGGCTTCAAATTTTAAATGAAGATATATTGTAACAAGAAAAGTTCATGCAACTATTGACATATGTAGTTACCCCTTGTAAATTTTATATGTATTATTCCCAATTGGTGCAAAAAAGACAATTGTTATAGATTGTCAAGCATTTTTTTTTTTTTACATTTTTTTCTTACATCTGGAAATACTACAGAATTAACAATATAGCAAACTTAGTATACTGTAGTGAACTGATGAGATAGCAAGACTGGCATACTGTAGTGTTGAGATAACAAGCTATGTATACTGTATTTCCTACGTGGTTTGAAGAAAATAATTTGCCGTTTTCATTCGTATGTACCAGTACCTTTTATCAGCTATTTATAACATTAGTATTAGGCAGGTTAATATTTGTTTCTTTTGCTCTTTAGAAGTTATTCATGAAAGAAAGCAGTAAGGATGTTGGAGTCGCAGTGCTGAAATTTAGACTAATGATAAAATGACCTTGCCATTTAAAGCAAAGAAACTTACCAGACATCTAATACAGTATGCCTATATTAATATAAATTTTTAAGTTGTTCAAGGTTTGCAGACTGAAATTTTACACTAATGTGAATGTTATTGTATGAAGAGGAAGGAATGCACTGTACATCAACTTAGAGAAAACTTAAAACTTGAGAAAAATTCATTATTTTAAAATGGGTATATTTTTTATGTAAAAATACAATACTTTAGGCTAAAAAATATAGATTTTATTATTTACAAAATATACAATGTATATTTGAAATATGTCACCATAAGCACAATCTAAGCTAGGTATTTCTTGGGCGATTTATATTAAGGTAATTAATTTATAGAATTATTTAACAACTAGATTATCTTGCCAATATTTTCACACTCAAAGAAAATCATTACACAAGAGGTGTTATTGTAAAAGATTTCAACCAGTGGTTACATTTTGCACAATTCCTAGGCAGAATTTTCAGTGCAAGTCTTACAATGAGATGTACCTGTCTTAAGAAATCGTAATGACACGATTGCAAACAAACCATACCCCCGGCCGGGATTGAACCTGCGGTCATAGAGTCTCAAAACTCCAGCCCGGCTAACGCGATGGGCTGGAGTTTTGAGACTCTATGACCGCGGGTTCAATCCCGGCCGGGGGTATGGAGATGTACCTGTACTTGTTTATGTCATTTACAAAGGTAGTTCAATTTAACCCAAGAAACCTTTTTAAAACACACCAGTCTACCTGAAGCAACGAGCAGCCCAACATAGCAGACACTTCAGAAAAATGTAAATCTTTAAAAGACTTCTAAAATTAGTTATAATAATTTCACTTAGTTAATTTGAGGCACACTATAGCCTCAACAGAAATAAGCTGCAAGTGTTAATATTAGCTTCTGCATTTATGATATACAACTCTTCAATTTTTTTTATTGAGCACTATACAATTAACTGCAAAAGCAGTGATAATGTGTGAGTGTGGTGAAAGTGTTGAATGATGATGAAAGTATTTTCTTTTTGGGGATTTTCTTTCTTTTTTGGGTCACCCTGCCTCAGTGGGAGACGGCCGACTTGTTGAAAAAAAAAAAAAAAAAAAATATAATCAGAGTTAAAGATATTTAACACAATGGAAAAACAGTAGCAACTTAGGAGGCCTAGTCCAAGACTGAGCTCCAGAGAAGATAATCCCAAAACCTCTAATACACAACAAATATTTGAAATTTTTAAGTATAAGTGAGGGGCTTGGACTTCCAGCAAGCGTGCATGAGCGTGTTAGATAGGAGTGAATGGAGACGAATGATACTTGGGACCTGACGATCTGTTGGAGTGCGAGCAGGGTAATATTTAGTGAAGGGATTCAGGGAAAACGGTTTATTTTCATATAGTCGGACTTGAGTCCTGGAAATGGGAAGTACAATGCCTGCACTTTAAAGGAGGGGTTTGGGATATTGGCAGTTTGGAGGGATATGTTGTGTATCTCTATACGTATATGCTTCTAAACTGTTATATTCTGAGCACCTCTGCAAAAGCAGTGATAATGTGTGAGTGTGGTGAAAGTGTTGAATGATGATGAAAGTATTTTTTTTTTGGGGATTTTCTTTCTTTTTTGGGTCACCCTGCCTCGGTGGGAGACGACCGACTTGTTGAAAAAAAAAAAAAAAAAAAAAATTCAATAAGCAACTGAAATATGTATAAATGACCTATGCAAAGAATTTTTTTTTCCTACAAACTTTGCAAAATCAAAAAAATCTCAAGATTTCAAAATTTGTACTCGAACATTTACTGTACATTTAATACTATATTTACACCCATTTCTACAATAAAGTCAAATAGCCATTATCAATACCTAATTAAAAAGAAGATTTTCATAAGTATCAATTTCCCATAATAGCAGTTTCCTAAATATAGTTATTTGTATATTTAAAAAAATTTCATTGCAATAATAACTTTAAAAGATAAGAACTAATTTATTTCTAAGTAGTACTATCAAAATTAATAGTGTCTACTCATGCCAGAACAAGAATTCAGACTAATTTAATTAACTATACTCTGAATTTAGAGCCCGACCAATGACCAAACGACCGTATTTTCGCTGGTTCCTGCACCAATCTCATAGAGTTTGGCATCTCGGAGGAAAACGACCAGTGGGATAATCATTAATATATCCATTTCCACCGAAAAAAAATTCAAGAGATTTAAATATTAATTAAGAGAAGTATCATAAGAATGACAAAATTGTTTACTGTACATCCACTAATTGTGTAATATTTTCTGATGGTAATGGGATTCATAATTCGTACCAGTTACGTTTTGTGATTTATGGAGTGAAAAACATGGGAAAATAGGATTGCATCCTCAGACCCCAAAAAAATTCA